GAGGGGGGGGGGAGGGGGGAGGGGGGGGAGAGGGGAGAGAGAATGGTGAACGAAAGAACAAACACACGCGAGAACGACCAGGGCATTTGTCATGCATGGCATAAGCTTTAACGAGTCGGAGAGGTAATTTAATCTCTACCCAACACACATGTCTTCATTCTTTACAAACACTTGAGGCAACAAGAACTCAGATCCAAACGCAATTCCATTAGAGATTAAAATTATTAGAAGTAAAAGAATATAAGTAACGAGAGAAGCGTTTTCAAACACGAGCCATATGCAGACACCTTGAAACTTTACCGTCAACCGCCAATCTTATTGATCAAAACCCCTGTTCATAACCTTTAAAGATTATGCAGCGATGAGCATCAAATTCATTGACCTTTTTCAGTCAAGGCAAAACAACACTGTCACTACCTTTACCAATAAGAATACCTGAAATCTACGAAAGCATTCATACTACTCTATGAGCCTATCAGTAGCGCAGGAGCTGATGTGCCCGTCTGCTCCCGTGAGAAGTAATGGATTCCAGGACCATCGATACACATTTAATTAACCGCATGAACAAACTTAAAAGTACATACTAATTAAGTTTAGAAATACGGGAACAACATGTCAACGAGCCTTGTGGACCACCTTTAACGCGCCCCACAGACAGTAAGTTCGACCTCTCAAATACTATCCAACGGTTTGGAACAAGTAGACGCGATTAGACAGAAATGTCCTAAAAGTTCGCTGGTACTTTTCAGTAACAAGTAAAAATAATCGCGATTTCTATCACATGCATAAAGCAATACATCCAAATATTGGCAAATAAATTCAACTAAATTCAAGTTGGAGAATGTTAAAATTGAATCGAAAATGCTAAAAGTCAGGACATAATAAAAAAAAGTTGATGGCAAATCAAATTCCGACTGGTGCCTTTTTTGCACGAATTTTATTTACAAAAATTAGCGATGGGAAGAGGAGGGAGGGAGGAGGGGAGTTAAGAGATAAGAGACCAAATCTGTCCATTTGGAATTAAATGGCCCTGTGTGAAATTATGATGAAATATTGTGTGTAAAATTTATTCTGCAGGTTAAGAAATAGTGAAATATCGAGGCAAGCGTAGTTGCCAAGTTTTCGCTTCAAATAAATCAAATACATCTGTCAGAATCCTGCAAGCAAGAAGGTAGTCGCGCGCTTTAACAAAAATAACCTGACAAAGTCGTCAAACAGTGCATATATAATTACCCAAGCTGAAATCTGAGGGTTAATGACGCTTAACATGAATGGATATCTAAAATCCAGTAAATTCACTACCAGAAGATCAAAGAGATCGAAACTTATTAAGCAGATTGGATGAAAGTGAAGACACTTTAAAAAATCGAATTGAGGGAATTCTGGACTACAAGTGTTGAATCGTTATCACAGGATCGGATAAATAATCGGCAGAAACGGATGTGAAAGGGAGAGAGTGACGAACTCTGTGGCCTTCGTTGACTTTTCAGCATAAACACACCGTCAATTATAAACTTTCCAGGAGCCAGCGAAGTGGGCAGAAAAATTTGGTTTAAGCGAATGAAAACAAATTTATTTTAAATATTAATCAAAAAGGCGGCAGAAAAACCGTAAACAAGATCATTGGAGCATTGAACATTGAGGGAGATCTCATACAATGCATAAAAAATTTGATTTCACGATTTATACTGGGTGTCCGGGGTGTGGGATAGACTTATCTCCACGTGGTGCACCCTGGACAGCGTATACTCATACGGCAAAAAAGTCCACTAACCGGCGGCACTACCATCACCCCACTGTATGTCATATTCCACAACTCTACAGTACTCACCTCATCTTTTCTCTGCCTTTGTGTCTGTCAGTGTCTTTTACATCTTTGAATCACTCTTCTGTCCCCCCCCCTTCTCTACTTTTTGTCACTTTGATGTTCCTCCTCCTCCTCCTCTCTGTGAAGCCCGAAGTCAGCTAAAAGGGCCGCCTGCCATTTGTAATAAATAAATACTGGGTGCCCTGTTTGAAGAGAGAATTGATAGCAAAGCCACGATATTTGAAAGAAGAAAACAGAATGTGACCAAAAAAGTCGGAATAATGATAACTATAACAAGACTTGCTAACTACTTTTCAACCCTGATCAACCGCCATTTTATCCTTATAGGCTAATTTAGCTGTACAAAAAAGAACTATGCCGCACGATCTTTAACCTTAAAAAAAGAAGGAATATGGAAAGAAATGGGCATTGGGGGTTAGAAGGCACGACTCTTTATGGACGACTTGAGAACCGCTCAAATTTTAGTCCATGAAGGATGGTTTAAGCCGGCGGCAAAACTAGAACCACCCGTATACACAGTGTGCTTGCGCGCTAAATATGGAGAACTATATTCCTGAGGCAGATGTGGAGTGGATTCAAAGCGATGCAGATGGACGTGGTAAAATAAGCTCCAAACTAAAAGTGCTCAAAATTAGGGTGGAATTGCCCCTTAAAATGTGATGTTGAATGCAAACTTTCGAAATAGGTGAGAAGAAAAAAATGTTTGTGAAGTTTCAGTACAATGGGCAATTTTTTAAAAGCTTTCAAACTACAACACAACATGCACAACATGCATCTGCCATTCCTTTAGAAATGAAGTAGGCTAGCGCGCGCACACAGCCTAAAAGTGCTCGTTGATCGAGAAATCTTAAACAAAGTAAATTGACGTAGGCGAACGAAATATACTCTCATTTCACTTGACTACCGAAGGCAAGTGACCATCTCAAACGCGGTATATACCAGCATAAATTATTACCGCATCATCTGACGACGTATATATGATAAACAATATGATGGAGATAGTACCATCAAACACCATGACTTACTTGTTATTAGTTTTGACATTTTCAACCGATTGAGATGGAACAGGAGTGACAGTGGTAATAAGGGCGGATTCATCAGGTGCAGCACTGGTTATGGGGTTCGAGTCGTTGGGTGGTGTGGTCGTTGAAGATCTCGAATTGGTCCTCGTTCGCTCCTCCAAGGACAGAAGGGAAGGCGAGGAGAAGGGATTAGCATTCACGGAAGAGCCAGAAGACTCAGAAGGATGCCGAATGAGCATTGTGAGTAGCGAAGAAGGCCCAGCAGTACTGGTCTCCGTGACGGTTCCCAAAGCTGCATATTGGGCTGGTGGAGGGTTGTTTCGTAGAAACTCAACCACATTACCTGGATCCCCTTCAGCCAGACGTTGAAAGTAGGGAATAAGCTCCAAGAGGGCTTTATCAGACTTGTCGTCAAACCACGAGGTTATTTGAACCTAAAGGGAGGTTCAAAAAAATTTGATTAGGTACTCAAAGCCTGATTGGTGCGTTACTGCAACCAATGGGGAGACAAATGTAACTAAGTATTGTGATTGTAATGAATATATTCGATGCTTAAGGCCTTATTCAGAAGGTATTTCCGCCAATGAAAGTCCCCATAAATTAGTGCCAAATCTTTGTCGAAAACATTATTGTCAGGTGAAAAATCTACTATCAAAACCAAGGATAAGAAATTTGCTCTTCTTAATTTTAAATCTTGTCATTTGCTCAGAGAGCTATTATTGTTAATGACCCGTGTAATCACATTGATTCTAGACAAGCTATTCAACACCCAGCCTAATTCGCCAACCCCCCCCCCCCCCCCCCCCTCCCCTCTTTTAACACTCCAAAAAGGAATTGGCGAAAGAGGATATGCGTAAATATGAAAGTTCACATTTCTAGCTCCCTTTAATTGGTCACACGCCTTGAGGGAGTTGATTGGTACTCGTCAAATTTCCCAATTTTTACACTTTGAGGAAAATCTATTTGGCAAAACATTGGCCGAAAGAGAGAGAGAGAGAGAGAGAACGTGAGAGAAAAAGAAAGCTTCGCGTTTTCCAATTGTCACGACGTTCTCTATATGTGCTGTTAGCGAGCCAAAAAATAGCCTGAAGCGGGGTTCGCGATTTGTAAACAAATTTGCACCAAAATTCGTGATCCAACTCGCTAAAGCTTGCTCTCTCTCTCTCCCCCTCCTATCACTTATGCGACTATTTGCACAAAACACGACCCACTTACTTTAGTCAGGAAGTCCAAAGATCAAACAGCACTTGGGCCTAGAATCTGGACGAGACGATTGGAGAAAAAAAGAGGGCAATCGAAGTGGAAGGAGGAGAGGGGGGAGGGGTGGGGTGGATCAAACTGAACACCCACAAAAAAAAGACAAGGAGAATAGGAAGAAGAAAATGGTTAGCCCAAATTGATGGTCACAGCATGCAACTTTGAGAGCAAGAAACCACCCTAACGAAAGGCGAAATGAAGAGTTGTAAGATAATGCTAACATCGTAAATGAAGAGAGAGCAAAGTGGCAAGGCCGTTTGTGGCCGCAAGTTTGAATATTGAAACCTGACCCAGTGAAGATGTTCAACGCACGGAATATTCCACAATCCGAATACAAAATTCAAGCGAAGAAACTCCTCGGACATCCTTCAATACACACATGTGAGTGTGTTATAATAATAAAAGTGCTGCTTTAGGAGACGAGTTTAATTATGCCTTTTAATTGAGAGAAATTGAGGACTAAGGTGGTCCAAGGCAAAGCAATCGCACTCTTTGGCACAAGACGGTGCGCATCGAGCCAGAAGCGTGACCTCATCTTCCCACGTTTCCCCCACCAGTTCTCCCTCCGATTAATAGCTAGTCAAAACAAGCCTCTCGCCATTCCTCCCCCCCCCCTCCCCCCAACCCACCCACATCCTGTTTTTCATTCTCACCTTGAGTAAATAACGACCCTAGTAGAGAGACAGGTGGCTTAGTCAGTCACAAATGGATTTACGACTAGAATAATTTGACCTTCTTCGTCTTAGCGTCCCGGTACTCTTGCAACTCCACTAGAGTAAGACGTCAAGAGAGTACATTGGTAAATGCGACTCACCCCGCCCCCCCCCCC